TCCCTTTACTAGTCCTGGGCCATACAAACGCAGGTGTCTCTTCTTTTCCAGTACTCCCCTCTGCTGAAGAAACTCTACTGTCAGATTGCCAAGACATGTCCCATCCAGATCAAGGTGTCCACCCCGCCACCGCCAGGCACCATCATCCGGGCCATGCCTATCTACAAGAAAGCAGAGCACGTGACAGAAGTGGTGAAACGCTGCCCCAATCACGAGCTTGGGCGTGACTTTAATGATGGTGAGTGCTGGTCTTGCACCCCTCCGCTAGGGATGGCCCCATCTTTGGGCCAGCAGAAAGCAAAAGAGAGTAGTAATGGTGCGCCGCTGCGCCCGCAGCGATAGCCTTGGGTAGCTCCTGCTCCTCTGGTAGCCAGAACTGGCACAAAGCCAACGCGCCTGTAACCGGGCCTGCCGGCTGTGCTTTCACTCCAGGGCCGGGGCTGCCATGAACCTGTGGATTTGCAGCAGGAGCCCAGCACCTCTAGCCCCTCCGTTAAATTCTCTGTGAGGAGGATTAAGCTGCGTGAGCATGGCGGGCAAGGTAGTGAGCTCAGAAAGAGCTGGGGGGCAGGGACTCCTGCCTTGCACTGCCCCTACGCAGGTGTCACCACCTCTCATGCCCGAGGCTCTTGCGCAGGAGGGCAAGCCTCAGCGCCGGCCCTGCCCTCTAACACAGACGTTTAACTTCGCAGGCCAGTCAGCCCCAGCCAGCCACCTTATCCGGGTGGAAGGCAACAACCTCTCCCAATACGTGGACGACCCTGTCACAGGAAGGCAGAGTGTGATGGTGCCCTACGAGCCCCCACAGGTACCCCGTTTGCTTCCAGGGTGGTGGGGAAACAGAACCAGCATTTGTCCTCCTCTGCCTGTGCTGAGGGGTAACCCCGCTGGTGGCACGGCTGGGAGCAGGTCTGCTTGGGGGGAGACAAACATTGTTCTGGGCAGCAGTCCTGCTTGCCCTAGCATGTCTAAGGCATCCCTCCACCTCGCTCCCAGCTCTTGCAGCAGATGTGTTTGAGCACACGCTGCCCTGGGGCAGTGAAGCATCCCAGAGTGTCCTGTTGCCAGGAAGAGTGGTGCAGAGCTGGTGCCCAGGGACATCCCTCCCAATCCTTCCTTGGGGGCAGGGCTGGAGGCCTGGAGCCCTCCCTCAGGGACCACACAGTCCTTGTACAGTCACCTCTTACCAGCTGGGACCGTCCCATCAGTGCGGGCTAACACATCCCTGCTATTCCCCAGTACTCCCACCGGGAATCTCCCCTCAGATCTCCTCTACTTGCTGGCCAAAGGGTGGGCCTGGCACCGGCCTTGCTGCAGCCTCTTGCATTGGGGCTGAGTCCCAGCCTGCAGGACCCGATTTTCACTCCCTGCTCAGTATCTGCTCTCCTCTCCTGGGGCAGGTGGGGACCGAGTTCACCACTATTCTGTACAACTTCATGTGCAATAGCAGCTGCGTGGGAGGAATGAACAGGAGACCCATCCTCATCATCATAACCCTGGAAACAAGAGAGTGAGTCACTGTCACAGCACCATCCCTGCCCAGGGCAGGCCTCCTTCCCTGCTGCCAGGAGGGCTGGGGGCCTCGGGAGGAGGGCTGGGCTTGGGAGGGTGCAGTTTCCCAGGGATGGAGTGTGATTCCTCCCTGGGAACATGCTCCAGAGAGTGCCACTGTGGGGAAGGAGAGGTGGCAGCCCTCAGTCTCTGCACTGCTGAAACCCTCCTCTGTCCCAGGAATTCCTCATCCCTCTCCAGAGATTCCTGCTCACGCTCTCAGCAGACGTACAGGGTTCTGTACACATAATACTTGCGGGGGCTTTATTGTGGCTTTTTGAGCCACACCATAAAGTGTTGGACTCAACCAATGTGAAACTACCTAGAAGAAATAAACTCATTGATTTTTCTCTCCTCCCAGTGGCCAGGTCCTGGGAAGGAGGTCATTTGAAGGACGGATCTGTGCCTGTCCTGGCAGAGACCGAAAAGCTGATGAAGACCATTACCGAGAGCAACAAGCCCTGAATGAGAGTGCAGCTAAAAATGGCAACGCTAACAAACGCAGTGAGTCCTCTTTCCAGGAAATACAGATGGTTTAGGGTGCCATCCTGTCGCAGTCCAAGGCTGCTGGCCAGCGTCTGGGGTGCCTTGCTGCTCAAAGCGACGCAGCTGCTTCTGTGTCAGCTCGTTCCCTCTCACAGTTCCTCTCAAAGTTACCGCGCTCCAGAAGTTCAGACTCAAATCCATATCTGGACGTGACACACTGACCTTTCTTGACTAAGTCTCAAATCGCAGAAGCTGGACCTGCTCCCCGCTTCCCCCTAGAGTGCAGTGCTATTAGTGAGAGGCTTTTATGTCCAGATATATTTGTTCTTCACTATTATCATTAATAAAGGGGCATGAGTGCTAGGACACAGTTAAGCTGCTAGCATCCCTGCATGGTTTGGAGCTTAAATACTGCAGGGAACCAAAGTGTTCTCAAGTGTGTTCTACTCTGCCAAAGACAGCCCAGGAGAATGGAAATGAGGGGAAAGGGGGAATCCTCTGCATAAGTTTGTCATCAAAAACACAAAAACCAATTCGCAAAGCCACAAACCCTGAATGAGAGAGCACGTTTGGCATGTGTCAGGTTAAGTCTGCCAGAGGTAGTTATTTCCCTGTTTTCAGTAAAGGTTTGCAAAGTACTCCAGTTACCCGCTTCTGCCCCAAGGCTGCTGGCTGCGCAGTCCTACTGCTGCTAGGAGGAGCTAGGCCACAGCAGTTCCCATCGCTAGATTTGACTTTTGTTTTCCACTAACATTTTTTCCTCTCTCCTTTCCAGCTTTCAAACAGAGCCCTCAGGGGATCCCAGCCCTGGGGGCTGGCATTAAGAAACGGAGGCATGGGGAGGAGGAGATATATTACGTGCCTGTAAGTGTCAGTGAGCCACATTGGTTATCACCTGTCTGCCTTGGGACAGTTGTGGCTTTGTGCCCTCTGAGGGGAAAGCCATGGGGATGCTGTGTCAGGAAGGACAAGGTTGCATGGCTGGAGGAGACAGTCCTGAGGTCTCCTGCAATGCGTCAGGCACAGGGCCAGTAGCATGGCCCATAGGGCTGAGAGGAGGCCTAGAAACAAGGAGGGAAGCATCTGTAAATGCAAACGTCTGAGGGGGTCCTGGACCAGTGAACATTTATTGGTCACAGTGACATTGTGCCCTGCATGACTGGGCAGAAAAAAGGGGAGATAGGCCACGTGAAAGGGCCTGGTAAGACGGGCCAAAGTAAAGGCCTGGGCTTGTTCCCTCTTCCAGGTGCGAGGCCGGGAGAACTTTGAGATCCTGATGAAGATAAAGGAGAGCCTGGAGCTGGTGGAGCTTGTCCCACAGCAGCTGGTTGACTCCTACCGACAGCAGCAGCAGCAGCTCCTACAAAGGCAGTAAGTATTACTGCAGCAGCCAGCAAGGCTTCCTGAGACCCTGGCTCTGCCAGCTGCAGCTCTGCAGTAGGCAGCAAGGCACAGCGAGTGGCCAGAGAGCAGCCCTGGCCCTGGCAGTGTGACCGGGGGACCCCTCAAGCAGCTGTTCCCTAAGTGGTTACGGAGATGAGATGGAAGAAACCTTGGAGCTGGAAACTTGCAAGTCATCAGCCTATGTCTGCAGAGGCCAAAGCTGGGACCCGTCCACAATACCGCTTTGCCTCGTCTTCCCCTGCCTGTTAAGTGAAGAAATCCATTTCCTGCCTTTACAAGCAGTTGCAGCAGTGCAGATCAGGGTTTTTTCAGGACATTAGGAAGCACTAGCTATAGCATTGAGTACAAACCTCTCTAGGGTGACTGCCCTGCAGTGAATAGCACAGTCCCTCAATAGCAGAGTCTTTCTGTGGACACGCTTGACTGCTGTCTGACATACATGCATGCCACCCAATTCTGCACGAGTGCAATTTGTCCCGGGTTGCTATCAGTGCTTTTTTGCTGCCACAGTTTGCATGGGTACAGCTGGCTGAAACCTCAGGCCAGAGAATCTGTTAGGGCAACAGCCAGAAGGGAGTCCTGGGGAAAGGCAGGGTGGCTCCCTTGCTTCCTGCTGGAGGCTCACTAACCACTTTGTTTTTTTGGAGCAGGAGTCACTTGCAGACACCTTCATCCTATGGTCCTGTCCTTTCACCTATGAATAAAGCTCATGGAGGAGGAATCAACAAGCTGCCATCTGTCAACCAGCTGGTGGGGCAGCCACCGCAGCACAGCTCCAACTCAGCGCCCAGCCTGGGGCCAATGGGTAAGGTGCCCTCGTCACCACTTCCCGCAGCCCCAGGCAGCTGAGAGGCAGAGCGGACAGATGGCAGCCACAGCTCTGCAGCGCACAGAGCAGCGCGAACTCCCTGGAGCCAAGCTCTACTTAGCTTTCACCCCTCCTCGAACCCTACACCAAAACAGAGGTGTCTCAGGCAAAGGCCAGGCAGATTATGTTTGTACACGACACCCAGCTGGAACCAATCTACAGCTGAACCACCTGGGAGAGATCTTCCCAAATGCCACTGCACGGGGATGAGCGGGAATTTATTGTGTAACTCTATGTCTGCAGCAGATCTCCTAGAAGCTCTCAGGGAAGGCAGTGGAATCAGCCACAGTCAGCTCAAACCCCAAAGTCCTCAAGCTAGTGCTCACACAGTCCATGCTTAGAGTGGGCTCTTCCTGCCTGTCAGTAGACTCCCTGATGAGGGACAGGGTGGTTATAACCATTTGGGTGAAGTTATGTCTAACTCTGATCTATTTGTTGCATTGACATGGCTTCTGCATAGGACCTGGAATGTTAAACAGTCACCCCATGCAACCCAACGGAGAAATGAATGGAGGCCACTCGTCCCAGTCAATGGTCTCAGGATCACACTGCACCCCTCCTCCACCCTACAACCCTGATCCCAGCCTTGTGAGGTAGGGAAGACATCTGGTACCTGTTGTGCGTTGTCCTCTGATGTTTCTTGCTGTTGTCCCTTACCCTAACCTTCAGATCTGTCTAGCAACTGGTCAACTGGCCACTGGTTCCAACTGAGAAATCACTGCTCAGGAAATCACATAGACCATTCTTCTCATCTCAGAAATCAAAGCCCAGCTAACTACCAGTTAGAAACATGTATTGCCTGCAATACAAATGTATTGCAAAAAAGATAGTAATCCATCCTTACTCAGTTAAAAATTAAATACATGTGAACAAGAATCTGTTTCTGAATGTAAAACTGGCATATAACTTTGTAGAACTTCCACTTTCCTCTCCCTTACCAGTGATACCTGGAAATTGTTCCACATGATTTATTTCCATGAGGAATATGTTATCAGCTCTGCAGACATTTTTTCCTGTTCTAGTCTTTTAAACAGACCATAGATGTTTCAAAAGACATCCTTCCAGAATTAGGGAGGCTGTACATGCAGCTACTAGAATTGCACAGCTGCAGCCCAGTGCAATGTGCAAAATATCCCTGCACCAATCTGTACATTGCAGACTGACTGTCACTGCCCAGGCCAAGGCTTGTCCCTCTCTCCGTCCCCAGACAGCTCCAGCTCCCTCAAGTTATTTAGTGTAAGTTATTCAGCTGAGACCTCTGAAGATCAGGAGAACTAAAAAGTAATGTTAGGGATGAACATGGTCCCGTTAACTTCTTTACTCTGACATTAACGGCAAGTTAGGCCATACTTCGGCTTTGCATCAGCCACAAGAAAAACTCTATCCAAGCACTCTGAGCAGCCCAAGTTCCCTACTACGTTCGGTTTGCCTGCATCCCACCTGTGTTGCAAGGGTTTGAAAGGGTTGCCAGTTCTTTAGGAGGCAGGAGCCTACTACAGTCTCCTCCTTGCCTTTTCAATGAGCTGAAACATGGTTTGCCACTACAGTGATGGTTGAGAGCACAGCTTATATTCATGAGAAGTTAATGCCACTTTATTCTCCAAATTTTTTCTGCAGTTTTTTAACAGGATTGGGGTGTCCAAACTGCATCGACTATTTCACCTCACAAGGGTTACAGAATATTTACCACCTGCAGAACCTATCCATAGAGGTAAATGCTTTGGGAAGATCTGTTCTTACCACTTGTTTCTATCAGCTGTTGATCTTAAAAGCAAGGACAAAACAGTTTTAAAGGAAAGGAAAAAAACTGTGCACCAACCTGTCACACAAGCTATACGTGCCCCATGATTGATGTCTTCCATTTATGCATCCTTTCTAGTCCTTCAGATTTAGTGGTAGTTCAGCCTTTGGTAGCAATCCCAATAGTCTGTTCCATTGATTCTTGCAGACAGTCAGAAGCAAGGTCCAACAAGCTTATAGGATAATGGGGAAAAACAAAATAAAACCTACTTCTTTCTGGGACGTCTAAAAAGAGCTAAAAGATTCCCAAATCAGACCTTAAATACATTTTTTTACCTAACATACAGGAGAACAAACTGAGGTACTCTGCAAAATAATCCAAAGCCCACAGAATCAGTGGAAAGATTTCCATTGTATTTCAGCGAGTTTTAAATTAGACCTATAGCTCTGATCTTATGTCTTGTCATGTAAATCTTCAGTATGTCTGTGAGACAAAAGAAGATAAATAAGTGAGTCAGACCCAGGATATCTGTATTCCAGGACTCGGTGTTCCAACCCTGGGACCAAATACCGCAGGTTAGGCAAAAGCTGGAGTGAAAAATTGTGTAAGATATGTTAGAAATAACTGATATTACATTGTGTGTAAGCCCTCTGCTGCTGGGGGGAGAGGGTTTGCTACTGTAATTCTTGGCTAAAGTGCAACTCTTGGTGCAAATACCGAGGTCGCTCTTAACCAGAAGAGGAAAAAAAAAAAAAAATCTTAAACCTTTTCGGCCATAATCAATCCCAGAGCCAGTATTTTGGCCAAGTCAAAGCTCCTACCCTGATTCTGTTTTGCCTTCTAAGTAGTTTGTAGCAGTTGTCTTCTATCTGGCAGCTAAAATAAAATATGAGAACACGTTTTGATGATGCAGTTGTTGAAGACACAATGATTTTTCATTGGTAGCTGGGGCCAGTTGCGTAATCTTAGCCTGGTTTTGGAACATTTTCTGAACTAACTCCATTATTATCTGTAAGCTGTCAAAAGAAACGTTTGGTATGGTCAAAACTTGATACCAGATTGCTGAGCTGTGTGTCCAAGTTGACATTTGTAATTACTAATTGCACACTTGCTGTCTTCTCTAGTTAACGCTACGTGAGTCTCTGTGTTTGGCATTAACATGGATCTCTAGCAGCTCTCCACTACGATGGTATTTGTTCTGATGCAGGCATCTGCACATAGGCCACCATCCCTGAGATTTTCAAGCTCTTGTTTAGCATTATAAGCACAGCCCTTCATGTCTGTCATAATAATCTGCTATTGCCCATCTTGGTGTGTTAATACACGTGACATAGGATTGGTCCCAAATCAGCCCGAGTCAAGAACAGTTTGAGAAGTGTGGCACATCCCCAAAGCCATGAGTGCCCACCTGTGTGGAGCATATTACCTGGAAATGCAGTTCAAATCTCTCAGTCCAGGACCTGAGGAGAGAAGTGACCACAGACCAGCTAGGCTCATGGCTCCTTATCCAGGTGAACAGATCATGACACTTCACATGCTGCTCCGCAATCTATCAGAAAGCAAAAGGCCCAGTCCTTCCCATTTTCACATTAGTTGTATGTGAAACAATAACTTGCTTCTCCCCCTCCCACCCTAAATAAAAAAAAACCCAACATTTTCTAACCTGCAAAGCTGTGTTTGAGTAACTAGTCAACTGGCCACTGGTTACAAATGAGAAATTACCCATCATGGAAAAAACCCGTGGGCTCAGTGCCGTGGCATGGGGGAGGCCCAGGAGCACGGTTTTTGCATGCTTTGACTTCATGCCCATATGCTGCCTCTGAACCACATACTCAGAGGTCCCAGGGCTTGTTCCCATCCTTATTCTTGAGTCTCTGCTGATTATCGGCTATGCCTTAGCAGCGTTGTTCTTCCAGGATCTCGGAGCACTGAAGATCCCAGAGCAGTACAGGATGATTATCTGGAGAGGCCTTCAGGAACTCAAACAGAACCATGACTATGGGGCCCAGCAGCTTATCCGCTCCAGCAGCAACGCCTCCACAATTTCCATCGGCAGTTCTGGTGAGCTGCAGCGGCAGCGTGTCATGGAGGCAGTGCACTTCCGCGTGCGTCACACCATCACCATCCCTAACCGCAGCGGGGCCGATGAATGGGCAGACTTTGGTTTTGACCTCCCAGACTGCAAATCTCGCAAACAGTCCATAAAAGAAGAATTCACAGAGGGAGAGATCAACTGAAGGTCTCCACAAGGCAGCAGTAAGAGACTGGATGCAGAGTTAAAGGAATATAGAAAAGAATGAAACCCTGAATGCAAAACAACATATTATTTTCAGCCCTGACTGCCTGGCTGAAAACGTAGTGTCACTGGACAGACGGGAACTCCGAGCCACGTGAGCAAGCGTGGCCCTGATCCATTCATTAGGTGTCTTCCCCAGAAAGGAAATTCCAGGGGTTTTAATCAGAGGATGAAGGGGAAGGAAAGGGCAGCTGAAATAACTCATGAAATGGAATGCAGAGATTTTCTAACAGAGGACGAGTCCTTTGCTCGTTTATAACGCTACTTTGCATTTTACTGGACCATCCTTGCATCAAACAGATGCAGCATAAAAATAATACATACATTTTTCTGTTAGCAGGACTCACCTTCTTTTCTTCTTGTCTGTCCCTGCTCTGTATTCTCAATGATGTCCAAACTCTACAGGTCTTTGTCACCGTAAAAATGGGGTTTTACATCTGCTCCGTTTTCTGTAAAGATATCTGCCATTGATGGATACACAGGGACAAAACCCATCTGCTTTCCTGATGGACTGCCAAAAAGTATCCATCTCCCTCAGTTCTTTGTAGAGCAGAAAAAAACCTGTTTTTCAATTACAGATGTGTTCATGTACTTAAATATTTGTGTATATAGACAGACCACAATGTACATACAGTATACTTGTTGTGTTGTAAGGAGAAAAAAAGATTTATTTTCATGTAAGCTATAAAAATTGATACTTACTCCTGAGACACTATAGTGTCAAGTAAATTAATTTCCTGCTCTAGCATGCCAACATGCAGAAATCATGTTTTCAAGCCTTATCTACCAAAAATTCAAATGATTTTTTTCCCCTCCGAGTATCCTTCACACAATTGCAGAGAAGGGGGTGAGCCTGCAAATTCTCGTTGGGAGTCAGAGTTCTGTAAAATTATTCCCTGCACTGCCGGAGGAGTTTTGAAGACAGGTTAGATGGAGCTATCGGGAATGAGGTAGGTGTAAACGTCATCCTGCCTTGGTGTAAGGCGATGGACTGGGTGACTGCGTGAGATTGTTCTAGTTTTGTTTTCCGTTAGCTCAAGTCTTGTCCAAAGCTCCCTGTATTGCCAGGTTATTTATTGCCCAACCTGACTCTGGCCTTTTGCATTAGCTTCCTGGAATAAAAGCTGTTCATAATTGCCCCAGTAATCACCTTCACCACACTGCTGGGTAGAACGGTTTTTATTCCTTCCCAGCTGTTGCTGACACATGTTCTGGTGATTTTTTCAAGGCATAATTTGGCTGTTGATTCAACCTGAGAACTCAGAGAAAGCAATGATGCAAGCAGCTGTATTCCCTCCCCCTCTGCCTCCGAGTAGTAAGCCAAACATTTTGAAGGGTGAGAGTCCACAGCAAGGGTCTGGAAGGCCCATCACAGAGGCTAATGGTCCATGGAAAGAGGGAGGGTACTAAGCTACTTCATGCACCTGCCTAAGCTCGGGCTGCTCTAGATTTCAGGCAGCCTAAGGGAACGCAGGCAGAAGTGATGCTGCCCTCCCAGTGCTGCATCTCCTCTCCCGTGTTTCCTCTGTGCTGGATACCTCCAGGAGGCAGACCTACAACTGTTTCCCATAGCGCTGGCACGAGAGACACCTCGCCAGGCTTGGGGAGGAACTGTGCCATCCTTTGCACAGCCCTAGCCCTTCTATCCGACAAACTTAGAGAGAAAAGCGAGAGTCCCAACAATGGAGTTCAGTGCTCACCTCACAGATACATCTTCTCCTCCTCGTAGGTCGGTGTTTGTCCTCACTCAAAGGAAAGACCATAGGGAAAACAAGTGTGAACACTGCATGTGCCATGCCAGGAGCGCTGGGGCCCAGCTCCTTCCTCCCCTGCATTCACCGTGGCTGCCGAGAACAGCTCGAGGCCTCGGGCGTGCAGGGGAGCGCGGGCAGCGCGGCCTCCTCCCTCCCTCCCTCCCGCTTGCCGGGCCACCGGCCACCAGCCTCTGCCCTTCTCTCCTACCCCAAGGGAACAGGAGGGACAAGGGCACCGCTGCTTCCAAAGCCGCTCTCCGCTCTACACTACACCTAGCGGGCACTGGACTCCTTTGTCCTTTGCTGAAATGTGAACCTATCTCCTAATATAACGGCTTATTAAAGCACTTTAAGGCTTTAAAGGCTTTAAAACGTTCATTTGTGTTTTCAATGTTAACTACGGCTTTTTCCAGCAGTATTAATTGATATACTCCAACCATGCTATGAATGGTATTTTTTGTAATGTTATCTTTGGAAAATGTGTTATTTTTATAGATGTATTTTTTTTTTTGGTAACACAATTAAAGCACATGTCTGAATTACAACATCTGGCAGCTAACGTCTTGCTTATATTGCATGGAAAGTGCTCTCATAGTACTGGTGTCGGTCTCCAAAGCCACATTGTGTCCTCTGGAAACGGTCAGAAGTTGTTTTGCTTCATCAGCGAAGCACAGTTACGAACAAGCAGTTCTGCCAAGAACAAGAGGACCCGCCAACGCAAGAGTGCCATGGAAGCGGCTCCTTCCTCCTCTAGAGGCATTGGAGGAAGTGGCCTGAGGGAGCAGAGCGCTTCTCCCCACAACTAGACGTTACCGCTGCAGGAAAACGGGTGCGAGCAGTTTGCTCCCTGCATGCAGGAAGTCAAACAGGCCCCAGCTCGGCCGTGCTTCCTTCCCTTCCTCGGGCCCTCCGAGAGGTGGCACGTGCGCTACGGAAGTCTCGCAGAACCTCCCCTTAAATGTAAAACCCCAGCAGAAGCACAAGACACCGGCTCGCCCCTAGCAAGTGCCTTCCTTTAAAGAGGTAAATGTCTTACTTCTTTATAAATGAAACTATTTTCTCAAGAAATGACTAGAGTATGAAACTGATAGCAATCTTTATCATTAAGACATAGCTTTCCCATGTTTGAAAAAAATTACACCGTTAAAAACAATTTCCACAAGAGAATTGTGTTTAGTTATAAATGTCACAGCTATTTCTAGTTTTAGTCTTATACGGCAAACATAGGAATGGGAATCTAGCAGAATTAAAGAGTCTTTCCAGAAGAAAAGTGACATGTGTATCAACTAACGCTCAAGGCAAAAATGTTCTTTTAATACAGTAAAAAAGCTTTCAAAAGATCTTGAAAAATGGCATATGAGAAATACAGACAAGAATAGTCAAATCTATATATCTGCAATAAGCTCAACATGAGAATAAAAAGAGAAAAATAACCTGGCTTTAGAGCAGACTTGCCTGTTGTTGAAGGCACTATCTTTTTCTGCGATGTATATTCCAAATGTGCTGGACTGTAAAAAAAAAAATCTTTACAATATGTAATCACCACCCCTCCTACACTCAAGGAAAGCGATTATTAGTCCACTTTTGCTACTAAAATATTAACATACAAGGCTGGCATTTAAGCAAGGAAAACAAAAGCACGCAGACAGCTACCTTGCTGTTGCAGTGCGTGATCCAGACAATGCTGAATGCAGGTGCTGAATAACCCAGCCAACACACACACCTCAGTGACAGGGGTTGTACAGGGCCACTGTACAAATTCACAGATTGCATTCTGAAAAGAAAAAATTAATAATGCAACGTTTATTACAGAAATGCCCAAGTGTGTTGCTTCTCTATGGAACAGTCTTAATTCACAGCCTTCCTACAGTGTTTCTCCTCTCACTACAGCCAGTGCAGTAGCAAGACTCCCTCCCTGCTTTTTCATTCCTCTTCCCCATCCTCCAAGAAAGTTAGGAGATCATAACTTTTCAGCTATGTATTTGAAAGATATTAGAAAACCCATTAAAAAACAACAAATGAAACAATAACTATGAGGCCAAGGAGCGAGTTCAGCACAGAAGTCACACTCCTGCATATACCGAAGGGAAGCGAGCGTGGACCAGATGAACGCTCTCATTTTCTCGAGCATTACGCCATCTCGTTTCCACAGCTGCCACTCGCACAGCTCCCATCGCAGCGGGTGGTGGTTTAATACCTCTTTACCACATCCCGAGGAGCACTGGTCTGTTCCCAAGAAAACAAAACTCCACAAGCAACAAAGCTCTCCAGAAGAAAATGCCACCTGGACAAAACCACACTAAATTTCTCTGGAGGGTCCTGGCTGACGTGCTAAGAGGCATCTGCAACATCAGCACGGAGCCCTTCTAGCTCAAAAGCGCCTCCAAGTTCTCGGCGTTTCCAGTGGAAATGTAAAACAGTAAGTCTTTTATGTAAGGTAACAGTGGAGACATCACTAGGTAAAAAGACCTCACTGTAGCACAGCTCAAAGATTATCCTTCACCTCAGAAAACAGCAGTGTGCATCACATTATTTCAGTCTTGATCACAGATGAATCTATTGCTTCATTGCGTAAGTCAACAGCAGATCCATTTCTCCAGGACTGTTCAGCAGCTGCAGCTACCTGAATTGTCCAGAGAAACTGCTCTTTGGTTATCATGGGAGGTTCTTTGCCTGCAGAGATGAGGAAAACCAGTGGATAAATCTGAGGTTCTACTGTCTGCTTTGCCTCTGACCTGCTCTGGCTTTCAGCACGTCCCTGCAT